GCCTGGGTGGGAGCATTCTCATCCAGGACAGATGACCTCCAGCCCACAAGCCCTGCATGAAATGTCCCTTCAAAGCCCTGGCGAGGCTGAGGCTCGTGCCTAGAGCAGGGCATAAATGGTTTTCCTGAAAGCACTAAGGCTTCTCGCCTGCCAAAAGCCAGCTCCAAAAGCCTGGAGCTTTAGTTAACAGAGATAACCAAATGCATAAAATTTCCTTATTTAGTTCAGTAGCTGATTTATTTTTAATACTCTGAAGAACTACCCAGCCAGAGGAAATTTATCAGTTGTCTGGTCAGTCCTCTGAGCAAAGCCAGGGCTACTGATTCCCTCCAGCAGTTCCCACATCAAACCCAGCAACAATAGACAAGGAAGTGTCAGTTATTAAATGGGCTGAAAACACTTTCCATTGTTAAGTAAAGGATTTCCTTATGATTTCCCATGCCAAATAATAAATTCTAAGTTATACAGTGTGTGCCATTACAGACCAGTACTACTGCAAAGAAGATAAATATTAAAACCAAATGACATCTTCACCATTTCTTGTCAAAGCTGGCTCAGGACTATCCCCAATAGGTGCAAGGCTGAGTTTAACTCTTGTTTTTCCTCTTCCTCTTCCATTCTCATCTGGAAGACGTGAAAGGGGAATACACCTTTTTGAGGGAGAGCTTTGCTCTCACAATGAGGGCTTGTCCTCCAGCCACTGGAGTTGTGGAACAGCCTGGTGGGATCTTGCTGTGATCTTTTCCATTTCCCTGGAAGCAAGAAATGCAAACTTGTTCATTGCTTTATAAATACAGTAAGTGTTACAGTGAGGGTTTTTTAATGGGATTTTTTTTTCTTCCTTTTTTTTTTTCCTCCAGTAACTAGAAATTGCAAATGCTCAGGAAAAGAAGAAGGATTGTAGGGGAGCCCAATTCCCCTGGGCAAGCTGTTGTACACGTGTACAGGAAATTGAATGCAGAAATTATTGCATGCAAGGCTGTTAAAGAAGTGTTGGGGTTATAAAACAGATCTTTCAACTGCCACCCATTGTGGACATTCCAGTTGTAAAGGGTCAAGTTTTAATACAAATCTGCTGTCCCAAATTACATTTGTCTTTTTCCATAAAGTAGAAGTCATCAAAGATTTACAGGAAAGTAATTTTATTCCTTGTTACATTAACTCATTTATCTTCTTTCTGAATTGCAAAAGAAGGAGAAGGAGAAGGAGAAGGAGAAGGAGAAACCCATTGGTTTGGTAGAATTTATTAGGATGCCATGCTATAATGGCTTCTGCTCTTGGTCTGCTGAAATGTCCATGAAAACTCTGAGGGTCTTTTCCAACATACCTTAGCTCTCTTGAAATAGGGCTAAAAATAAATAGAACACAAAATCTTCTTGTGCTTGATGTGACTGATTTATTACATACATTTTAATTTATTACATACATTCTAATTTATTGCATGCATTCTGTTCTCCTGATCTGATATTCCACCCTTTGCCATGTAGCATCATAGCACATACTGGAAGTGAGATGACTTTTTTCTAAATAATTGTGACAATGAAGAGTTTGATATTCAGACCCTCAGTTGCTACCAGGAATTTTGATTACACTTCCCTTTCTCTGCCTCTACTTTACTTCCTGTTTTCAAGGCAACAGACAAAAAGATTTCTCAAGGCCATCTGCAGAATTAAATTTGAGATTATCGTGCAAGGAGGTACAGCACCAGTTAATTCAATTGGTTTTGAAAGAGGTAAAAAGAAAACAAGCTTACAGCCCCATCAGTGAAATCATATTCCAGAGGCGTGCTACTTCATGCTATTATTTTTCCTGAAATTAATCTGAATTTTGTTATCAGCAAATCAAAAGCTGATCTTCCAAACTTGAGATAAATTCTGATCTAAATCCTTTTTTTACTTGAAGCCAGACACAAAATATATTCCTATACACTGCTGCTCAATTTACACCCTGGCTATTAATGTTTCATCTGACTGTTCAAGTCCTATTCATTATTCCTTCAGACTCCATAAATGCACAGGACAAATCCCCCAAGTTTTTCTTTTCAGGCTGCAAATTCAATTTTGGTGACTCTATATGAACTTTGAAGCTCTGGTTGGAGCCAGTCACTAGGAACTGCAGCTCCTACTTTGTAGAGGCTTAGTCTTGATTTTGCAGAGAGCTTTTGTGTAATCAGGCAATTAGAGCTGTGACCAGTGATCCATATCAGCAACTGATAGGGAGTGCAGGATTGGTACGCTTGGAATCCAGGTTTCAGCCTTTCTGGTTAGCTAGTGATTCTCAAACAGCACTAATATTCAAGGTATTACATTGATTTCTTCAATTCCTTGACCACAAACACCTACAGTCAACTCTGCATTAATTATAGAAATTCTGGACATTTTTTCTTTCAGTATCTCCATCTATGCTTGCACTATTAGGAAATCCTTCCCCAATAGTTTTCTGTAACATCATCTGGAAGTGTAAATAAATGCACTGATACAATCAGTTAATAACAACCAAATCCTGCCACTGCAGCTCCAAGTGTATTTGTTTAAACTCTGAAACAGTGTAGTTAGATTGTTTTATCTCTTTGTAGAAACCTAAATTTAAAATAATACTAAGCCAGAGTAAATTTTAATATTAAGCCCAGGGTAAGTGGGTGCTTATTTAAAGGCCACATATTTAGCAAGACACTTTAATGGCTGCTGTTCTGTGAGAAAGAATAATTGGGGGAAAAACTTCAGAGTTTAGCGTTATTTTATAGTTTCCCCTTTCAACAACCCCCTTAGATCACATTTGCTGAGATCTCTATTGTTATAAAATGCTCACATGATTCCTGACAATAGATGTTGAATGCAAATGTGTTCTCCACTACTTAGAATGGCATGAATACCTTTATTTGCTGTGCATAGTGCCTGCCACTGCCTTTAAATACTCAAATGTGCCGTAAGACATTTGCAGTCAGTTTGACTTAAATATTGCTAATTCACCTCTGAGTGTAGTTTTGTGTATTTAACAATGGAGGAGCCACCAGAGCCTGAGCAGCTGTGAGCATGTCATGGGAAGCCATGTCCAGGGCTGAAGCAGCTTCCACCTTGGATGAATCCCTGAAAGTAAGAACTGGAAGGAGAGCAGCATGGGCACAGAGCAGCTGGCCTTGTTTGCTCTGAGATTCAGGGGTTGCTCCTGAATTTACTCATAGACATCAGGTCTCAGGCACAGGGATGCTCCTGAGGGTGCCTGACTGCTTCCCACAGAGACCTGAGGGGCAAAGGGGCAGGGACAGATGAATTGGGATGTTTGCTGTCCAGGCATTGCAGAGGCAAATCCTTCATGGAAGTGTCTGTCCACAAGGAAAATGGCACCAGGAGGAGCAAGGAGGGGGATGGGCCTGAAACTCAGATGTTCAGGAGAGAGAACATCTGGAGATGTTTGGAGAAACCAAATAAGTGGATGCAGCAGAAACTGTTTGGTAGTTAAAGAAGGGAAAATCCTGGGGCTCTGCCACTGTCATTATTTCTGCCATTTCAGCTGACTACACCAACTGTTCTTCAAGGAGGAAATGAGTTCCCAGGTTTTCCCCTGAGGACCAGTTCCTGTGGACTCACCCAGCTTCCCACTCCAGTGCCAGACAACAACCACCAGAGCTGGCTTCTCAGCACCCTCCTTACCACGAAGGTGTCTCTGGGAGGGATGCACCCCTGCCTGCAGTGCCCTTCTCCTCTTCCCCATGGCAATATGTGGTGTTGAACAAGTTCTGCATCACCTTATGAGGCATCTGTGTGCCAGATCTGCTCTAACTTCTGATTACCGTGTCACATCAGCCTGCCTCACTGCCTTTGCACCACAGCTGGTGCTGCACAGCTGCCCTGGGGCACTTTAAACACTTTGGCATTTTAAGGGACAACTTATTTAAGTGCCTGAACCCAAAATGAAGGTGGGTCAAGCAACTGGACTCTCAGCATGGGAGAATGGCATTCAGGCCAGACACAGACCCATGAGACACACTTTATCTGGGTAAAGTGGTGAAGCTCATCATTTCCCCAGGCCATGGGTACCTAGTGCAGAAGCCACATACTTTCTGGAGTCAAATAAGATGGGGTTCACCACTGTTTCTCCAAAGACTGGAAAGAGAGAGAGAGGAAAGACTCACTCTTTCAAAGCACGGCTGCAGAAGAGAAGGGTCCTGGTTTTCCATTGCCATCTCTCTTTTCTAAAAATGTGACAGAAAACAACTTGCTGGTGAGGACCAGAAATAACAATTTTACCCATGGGATCTTGTTGATGCTGTTTGTTTATCTGTCTCCACGGACCTGACCTGGCTTTGGTGGGAAGGGTGTGGGCATGCAAGGACACCTGTCCTGGGCTCACATCCATCACCTCCTGCTCTCCTGGGGCACAATGGATCCAGACCATTTGAACCCCAGGGCTCAACTGGAGCTTAAACAGAAAAATGGCACCCTCCTGTGGCAATGGTTAAAAAAAAAGAATAAAATAAATAGCTGTGACTAAATTCAGAGCAGGGTCTAATCCTATCAGCATGTGTTACCCCCGTGTACACCCACCAAAGGAGGCTTTACGAGGAATGAAGGTGCCCCTGTGCTTGTACAAAAACACTGGGATTTGAGAGCCGGGGCAATGCAGGGAGTGCACCAGAGCAGAGCCAAGGCAAAAAATCCTCCAAGGTCAGGCAGGGAGTCCTGCAGCGAGCTCGGAGGCAACTGTTCAGCAGCACGGAGCCACTCTGGATCCCAGAGTCCACATCCGGACAGCTTCAGAGCCTACATCCTTTTTTTGGACTTGGCTCTTTGTCAAAACCATAGGGTACAGTGCCTGCATGGACTTCAAAGGGAGGACACCAAATGTGATTTGGCCCAGGCAGTTACGACCATTTATTGCCAGCATCTTTCTCAGATACTGCTGCCAAGGGTTAAAATGTTTACATGCCCCCTGATTTTAAATGGACCGGGTAGCATGTCAAATGCCAACGAGAGGGACAGCTGGAGTATCTAAACCAAGAGCTTTGATCTTGGTATCTGTAAAAAAGAGGTCATTTAGTCTCCCCAGGAAGCACAGACATTTAGAAGGTCCCCGTACAACTCATGCAAGTATTTTATTAACAACAATTTCTGTTCACATTTAGGTAGGTTGTATTACTACTTACTTAAATTCCTCTTATATATACATGTATATGCATATATATGTATGAATATCTGCATTTTTTGTGTGTGTGTATGCATATATGTTCACACACATCTCATATACACGAATTTGTGTGCTTGTGTGGTTATCTGTGTGCTTTCTAACATCCAGCATTTCTATGCAGATGTACTGATCTAAGTTACTTGCAAACAAACTACAGTGATTTAAGCATTATATTTTATCTCTAAGTCAGTGTTTGCAGAAGTAACCTGAAAAATTTTTCTGCATGAGATGCTTTGAGTAAGCCTGCAATTGTAGCAAGCATGTGTGGTGTTTTCAAGAAGATGCAGGCATGAAACACAGACTTCATTGTGCTGTAATCAGGTCTGACATTGATTCAGAAGAGAAGAATTCTAAAATACAGTATTTCACAGGGGAAATATTTTTTTCTTTAGTGGAGGATTTGGTGGTTAGTTCACAATGCAATTAAAATAGCCACCAGATGTTTATGACTTCAGGCAGCAGTTAACTTTACTGTCTCTGATTGCTGTCCTTCGCTTCTTTGTCAGAATAAATAAGTATTTTTCTGCACTGGAGGAAAAAATCCTTAATTTTTAAACATACGGCAGGGGGGTGGGTATGTATTTCCATTTGGCAGAGCTCATGTTGTTCTGTGACAGACTTCTAAGAAATTATAATTTTGAAGTTAAAATAAAATCTCTCTCCAGGATGAAATAAACATATTTACTCAAATGTGAGATGAAATGTACAGTAACGTCATTATACTGAAGTGATTTGTGAGAAGCAGCATTGTAAAAGGCTGTGGCTTTCCAGAGCATATAATAAATAGAAAGATACTATTTTTTTTTCCATTGAATAATAGGATTATTAGTATGCAATTTTTTAAAAGACACATTTAAACAGACCCTGCTGTGCTCCTATTCTGGTAATTTTTTTAGAGTCTGTTATTCTTATTTGTTTCGGGGCTATTAATTTTGAGGCCACATTATGTTCAAATTATATTTGATTACCAGGCTCAGTAAGCGATCACAGTTTGTGTTCCATCACCCAAAGGAAAGTTAATAAATTAAGCTGCACACTAACATTTTAAGAAATAAATTATTGAAGTTCTGCAAAATAAATTTAAAAAAAAAAAGAAGTGAAAAAAGTTATAGCAACCTGCTGGGCACCGTTACTAAAGGAGAAGGAGAGCCCAGACAGGGGTTAAAGAGCCCTGAAGTGTCCTAATTTTAAATGTGTATTTCAGCTATTCAGTCACATCTGAGATGTTGTGTTGACAAAGTAATTAATAATTTAAGATTTTAAACTTATGAATACCTCAGATAATATGGAAATAGATAAGAGATTTGTATTCATGGGTACAAACCAATTCTAAACAGTTAAATAACAGTGTGATTTTCAGAAACAAAATTATGGCATTAGAAAAACCCCACAAAGTGGAAAGAAAATAATAGATAGTAAGAGAATATCTAATTTTTGGAATGTTGATTAGGTCTTGAAGGTCTATGCCCATGCACAGAAACTGGCAGTTTCTCACCTAAACCAGGCAGTGCCTTGGATCTGTGCTAATGGGGAACCCTCCAAACAAAGAAATGAAAGGATTTGAATTTGCTTGGCTCTGCTGAGCCCCGATTACTCAAAGATTTGATGTTCAGTCCCTTGGGGCATCCAGACGTGATCCCCAGAGCATGGAGCCACCAAGATTGCTGCTCCCCCTGGAAAGAAACCTCACAAGATTGCAGTGGGCTCGTTTGGGCCGTTCTGCACAAACACATCAGTGGCTGTCTGGGGTCAGAAGAGAGGTGAAGTCGATCCCCCCAGACTCCCTCACACTTCCCTGTCGAAGCCTGAAAGCTGCTGCAAAGCATTTCAGCTGGACACACAGGCGTTTTCCCCTCTGGAAGACTGTTGCTCTCCCTGTTCCCATCTCGCTGGGTTTCTCTGGCAATTGCTGATGCCAGGAGCTGAGATTTTGCTTGTGCTCATCAGCTCCAGCCCCAGAGGCTCTCAAATGGGGGACTCAGAAACACCAAAGTGACACAGGATGGGATATAGAAGGCTCTGACACCATCCAGAGCCACATTCAGCATTAACTCCTCAGTGTCTGTATTATGCCAATCATTCAGATTGAAAGAGAAAGTGTGGGTTTTTAATTTAAATTAAACTACACTGTGGTTTTAGGATATGCAAGTCACAGGGTGCTGGGTTTGCTGACGGTGTTCCAGCAAATTTCCAGTTCATGCCTCCTGCCACCCTGGAGTGTGGGACTGAGGGTGAGTAGGAAGGACTGCAGCAGGACAAACAGTTAATCACCCAACGACCAGAAACTGTATTTTTGTAGAATACAAGTGAGTCACTCAAATCAGGGCATCACGCCAAAATCGAGACCAGCAGGTCAAAAGCAAGTCACCCTTGTATTTCACTGCAGGCTGCCCGAGGTAATGGAAGGGTTTATTTTGCTCTGTCTCTGACCTTGGAAACTCAAATTAGACTCTGAATGAGCAACAGTACTCCTGAACATGCAGGTCTTCAACAGCATTATTTACAAAAAATTGATTTTATTTTTTTTTAACCAGCTTTTCATGACTTAATATTTCTTGGTAATACGGTTCAGGTGCAGATATATATCACAACAAAAATCCCTGTCCCAAACTGCTTTCCAGCCTCGTGTGTACAAACTGCTGTGTTTCAACTGCTGCTGTTCTCCCTCCAAAACCCAAACTTTGTAATATTTTATTTTTAACCTGCTGTAGGTGGTAGCGGGTGTCTAAAATCAGTGTCGACCAGTTTAGCAACATCTTCAGGTCAATGCTGCAGAATTGTCCCATTATCATGACTATTTTTTTTCCTTGCTTAGTTCCCTTGTTGCATTTTTATTAATTTCCACCACAGATTACTTATTGCAATCACGAAAGAATTATGTAATTTGATTCAAGGCTGGTATTTCCTTCTGTCTTTTCTCTTACCTGTTCTGCAAAAAGTTCCTTACTGTTTTATTAAAAGAATTTAAATAGCCACACTAGATTTCACAGACTGAACTTGTTCACTACTTACTGTGTTTTGTCCTGCCCTTCCTTCTCTCTGAGCCCTTTTTGCTGGTGCTTTTCAACCTCACTTCAGCTTTAGGGTCTGGGGCTTGCAGACGCTCAGACATTCCCCCTGTGTCAGTGGCACTGCTCAGATGTGCAGAGTAACTCAAGTACTAGAGCTCGTGGGGAGCAGGATGTGAACCAGCAGTGATCTGAGTGTAAACCAACCAAGCAGGCTCCAGAAAAGCTTTTCTGAGCCACAATGATTTCAATGTGCTAAAATTCACAAAATGCAAGGCAGATGTGCAGTGGTTGGGAAATTATGTTGGCCATGAGATAAGAGCTGTGATAACTTCTGACTCTCCTTTTGATGTTCTCCACTCAATGCCACACTGCTAGCAGGGTCACCTAATGCAAAACAATAAATAACCAGGGAGGCAAAATGCAATTGGGAGCCATTCAGCAATGGTTTGAAAAAGCCTGTTTTCAGCCCACTGGAAGTTGTAGCAAGGTTGTTTGTGTAACAGCCTCCCTGTTGCCCAGAAACAGCACATGAGACTACTGAGTGTCTGTAGAAACTCAGATCTGGTTTGTTTAGCTTGGATGTGCAGGAAAACTGATTTTTAAATGTTACTTCAGCTTTGAGTCAGTGATTACTTTGGTACTTTTACAAGTCTTGCCTGGAAATGGGATGTTAATTGTTGTTAATGAGTCTGTCAACCTGAGTAAGCTCTGCAGGGCAGAACTCACAGAACATAATTCCTCTACCATGTCTCCAGAGTCTGCACTGCAGACCCTGGTGTCTCCAGCATTTAAGAGCAACGGCACCAAATCTGCTCCTTCAGACCTCAGGGCTTTCTTCTCAGTCCAGGACAGTAGCCAGTTTCTGCTCCTCTCTCAGTCCCATGGGACTTTTGGAATGGAGCAAAGCCAAGGTTCAGCTCTTGCTGACATCTTTGGCACAGGGAGAGGACACTGGTGGGTATGGGGCTGTGGTATGCTGAATAGGGAAAGAAGAGTATGGGTGTGGAGCTGAGATCCATATTTCTATCTTGCTTAATCCATGGTGTATCAGTAAGTAAAGATGTACTGAGCTGCTTTATCCGGATGGCAGGGGTTTTTTTTCTGCATTGACATCTTCTGTTCCCGTTGCTTCAGTTAAATTTCGGGACTGTGGGATACTGAACAGGGAAAGTAGAGTTTGGATAGGGAGCTGGAGATCCATATTTCTATCCAGCTTAATCCATGGTGTATCAGTAAGTAAAGATGTACTGAGCTGCTTTATCCGGATGGCAGGGGTTTTTTTCTGCATTGACATCTTCTGTTCCCGTTGCTTCAGTTAAATTTTCATTGAACTTTCCTCTGCTACAGTACCTTAGGACCTATTTTTGCAGCATTTCTTTTCAATCCATCAATCATGTTTGCCTGTGGGGGATGTTTTGTAGTACTTCCCTTTGGAGCTCGCAGGTAAATTTAAAAAAAAAAACCCTAAAAACTACATTAAAATATTCCTATTTGGGATAGACAGAAGACAAAGTTTGAAAGCTAGTGAAGCTTTATATTTTGCTTAAGTGGGTGATACCTGCCTGAACATGTTATGGCCTTGTTCACATGGAAATAAAACAACTTCAAGACCAAGTTTTGTGTCATAGCTGATAACCCCATTTATCTGCCTCTCTCTCACCAGGCTTCTTGTGCAAAGTGTAAAGTCAAAATTGTCACACATGGCATTATTCCCCAAGTCACTCCAGCTATCCATCCAGCCACCACAAGGCTGTATTATGCCATGAATTTCTTAATCTCATCCTCCACTGGAAGAGCCAAGTAACGGGTGGGGTTTTTCAACCAGCAGTAAATGTCACTGGGGCTTGGCTGCTTCAGAACCAAAGGAAGGGCTAACGAGCTCAGAGACAAGAGCCCTCTTGGAAAATTCCCTGTGAGCAGCTGCTCA